GCCCCGCCGGCACGATGCGCGGGCGGGCGCGGGCGGCGGCAGGCGAGGCTGCGCTGCCGGCTCCGCTGCCCCCTCGCTCGTGGCCTCGCCCGCTGCCGGCGGCCCGCTGAGACATGGACTTGGCAGGCGCGCTGCTGGCCTTGCTCCTCGTGCTGGTGCTTGTCGTCTCGCTGCTCTCCAATCTCCTGGTGCTGCTATGCTTCGTCTACAGTACGGAGATCCGCAAGCAAGTCGCCGGGGTTTTCCTGGTGAACTTATCTTTCTGCAACTTGCTCCTCACCGTCCTGAACATGCCTTTCACGCTGCTGGGGATCCTGAGGAGCCAGCAGCCCCTCGGGGGCTGCGTCTGCAAAGCAGTGGGGTTCCTGGAAACTTTCCTCACTTCCAACACCATGCTGAGCATGGCAGCGCTCAGCATCGACAAGTGGATTGCTGTGGTGTTCCCCTTGAGCTACACCAGCAAGATGCGATATAAAGACGCTGTGATCCTCATGGGCTACTCGTGGCTCCACTCCCTCACCTTCCCCCTGGTCTCCCTATTTTACTCGTGGGTAGATTATAGCAGCGTTTATGCCTCTTGCACCTTGCACCTGAAGGAAGAGACAGAGCGGAGAAGGTTTACGGTGTTCACCATTGTCTTTCATGCCACCAGCTTCATGCTGTCGCTGGTGATCTTGTGTTTCACCTATTTAAAGGTGTTGAAAGTCGCCCGGTTTCACTGCAAGCGGATAGACATTATCACCATGCAGACCTTGGTTTTGCTGGTGGACATCCACCCCAGGTAATGTGTGCATGCTCCTGTCCAYGGTCCCAGGGCTTTTGTGATACCCTTGGGTGGAAAGGGGGTCCTGCAGTCCCTTCCTGCAGTCCTGTCTGTTCCAGGCACATGTTGAGCACCCCCTCCTCCCACCCCCTCCCRCCACCGATCCCAAAAGCTTCTGCTTTTGCCAGAGGACGATGCCTTGTGTAAGTGTACAGCCCTCTTCAATGTGAGTCCCAGAAGCCGGCACTGCCAGGAGCCTGAGCTCCCTTGATTGAGATGGCAGCGATGCCCTCGGGCTCACCAGGGCTGCGAGTCCTTCCCCTCCCGCTTCCCGGCTTAACCCACCGACTGCTCTTTCCCCTTTGCAGTGTGAAACAGCGCTGTCTTAACGAGCAGAAGCGGAGAAGGCAGCGGGCAACCAAGAAAATCAGCATTTTTATAGGGTCTTTTGTGATCTGTTTCGGTCCTTACATTATCACCAGGTTGGTACCTCCTGCCGGGCTGGGCTGGGGTGGCGTGGGGGGCTTTTCAGGGTCGACCTCTGAAGCCCAGGATATGCTGTTGGGGGAGGATCTCACTRGTTTGGGGCTGTCAGAGGCTGCCACGGACCCAAGACTGGTTTTGAGGGGGTAGCACACACAGACACACGGACACATCRTTGGACCCTGTTCACAAAGCAAGGCAAGGCTCACACTGTGAGCTTTGGCAGGCTCCTGGTCTCCTTTCCTCATTGCAGCCAGGTCTGAGAGCCTCTGCCAAGAGCAAGAGGCTTTTAGGACAAGTACCAGGAATTAATTATATGCTTGTGGGAGATTAAGGCAGTTTAAAGATTCAGCACCCCTCCTTAATAGCAGAATCCAAGCAGTGAAGAGGAAAGCAGATGGTTTTTCCTGATTAGCTCTTTTTTTTTTTTTTTTTTTTTAAAGGCATAGGGCCAGGTGATATATGTGATATCACTTAAAATTATCCAGTTTGGCAGATTTTTTGTTTGTTTGCTTATTTGTTTTGTCTGCAAAAGTTATTGCTTATAAATAATGTGCTAATGCTGCAGCATGTCAGCAGAATTGTGATATTATCTTCCTAGATAATATCTAGGTTAAATATCAAGTTATTTAAACTTGAAATGTATAAGAAACCTCATGACTCTCAGCTGTTCAGAATTGCTGTTTTCCGCCTTAGTGGCTTACATCTTCTTAAGTAGTTATACAGCATGCTAACTCCATACTTGTATAGTCTTTGAACAGCRTATGGTTATTATTTTTAAAGCTTGCATAAATCAGTGAGTTGAAAGCCAGCATATGTATGCTGAGTTACAGCACATCAGGATCCAGACTTTCATTATGTACTAAAATGGGCTATGGTTTTCACAATTGATTTTTTTTTTTCCAAATTTGCACCATTTCACAGTGCATTTAAGAGAGAAGGGACTTAAGAGAAGAGCACCTCCGGGAAGGTGCATTAGCCCCATGAAAMCACCTTGGCTGGGGCTTGCTCAAGTTTGATGCCAAACTGCCAGGGGCTTTAGAAACACCATCTCACAAACTGGACAGCTTTAGCACATTGAGTTACATAATTGCATAGGTATTAATCATATATGACCATTCTCATTGCCCTTTTCTTACAGGGATAAAGAGACACATTAACACATTGGAGCACAAAAAAATTATAGTACATTACAACCTTTGGGATGACATTTTTTTTCTGCTCCTTTTATATATTGAAAAGGATTGATGACAGATTGCCTGGATAACAGCATTTTTTTTTCTGCARCTGAAGGGATTGTTACAAATATTAACATTACATCACAGAGTTAAAAGGTTAATTGATTACTGTTCAGTACATTATGAGTCATTTTATATTCACTTTTTTCTATGATCAGAATGCACCTCTTTACCAAGATGAAGATGGATTTTGCTATCTTATTTCCWTTTGAATTTTATCCTGCTCAGCAAGTTCCAGCATCACTGCACTTTTCAGGGTGGGGATTTTTTTTTTTTATAAGCTTCTAAAATGAAAGGTACTTTATTCTCCACACCTTGCATTTGCCAAATCTGAGATTCTGCATTTTCTGTGTGTGATAAACCAGAGCTGACACCACATATGTCAACAGAGAGMAAATTGTGGCCTGGTTTATGCAACTGCATGTGTCAAGGTGCAGTTCAGGTGTCAAGGTGCCAGTCACAATGGCAGAGATTTATCAGTGATAGCAAGATGGGAATTATTTGGGGAGCACACCCTTAAAGGTTTTTGCCTCCAAGTAAAGGAGTCATCAAAGGAGTAAAGACTTGATGATCTTGAAAATCTTTTCCAACCATAATGATTTTAAGGCATGATTTTAAGGCATTAAAGTCTGTTCACTAAAAGCCAACAGATGAATTTCATCTTTGCTGCAACAGCAGTGATATCAAGAAAATGATACTAAGATGCATCCAGATGGATCTTTCTAAAGCTGACTTGATTTGGCCAGGCCACTTATTGAAATTATTATTATTTCCTAAAWTCTCAGAGAGTTTACATTTGCGTCCATAATACATTAAAGGAAAAACACAGAAATATATCTATTTCCATAACGGAAAGAAGCCTACTTTTCTATTTAGTATTTATATTAAATTGTAAAGATCRAGTGTGTACTTCCTATATTAAGGAGATATCCAGGACAGAATAAACTTAAATGACAGGTTACATTTATGATCTGTTTGTCCTTTCCTCAGATTTTGTGTCTTGACATACCCCCTATTTTGAATTCACTGTATTTTTTCCAACTAACTTCAACTAGAAGTGGTCTGATTTTTAGATACATTTGCCATGGGAATTATTTCACTTTTACACAAACAAAACAGATTTTATTCCTGGGATTGGAACAGCTATAAAATTTAATACCTTACAAATAAGTACTCTGCACTTTGTAAAGAGAAGACTTTTTTTTCCTATTTTATAAAATAAACATAGGTGTCTTTAACTGAGAGATGTCTGATTCTGATGAAAACAAAACAGTTTTTTTTCTTCTACATGCAAAAAAGTTGCACAAAAGTCATGCAAGTAATAAAATCTCTCACCCTATTCTTTCCTGGAGAGCTTGTCCTCTGCAGAGAAGATATGTGCCAGGAGCCTACTGGAATAGTATGGTRTGAAGGATTCCTCTCATTTCTGTGGAAAAATTGTTAACTTAGTAGCAGTTTCTCCACCCATCAAAACCGAGATGCTGAGGCTACTAATCATTTGTGAAGCACAGACGATGGTCTGGAGACCATTGGTTGTCTGGTTATATGGCCATTTGGCTGGTCATATAACAATGATAAAATGTCATCTCCTTGTTTTTGCTGGCCAAATTAGTGGTCAGAAAATTACACATAGATACTTTTATAGGTAAGTAGATGAAGTTGTACTCCCAAATGTACTGTGGGATTGCCAGCATTCCCCAACCTCTCTGATACTGCCTTAATGTGCTTTGCACCACAACTACACAAACTAACATGAATTCTCTTTGCATAGGTAATATTTCACATCAGTTGTACAATGCAGATTCACTCTTTTGTATCTGAGGGGGAGAATCCAGTGGTCTAGAATGGTACCCAAAGGCTCTATGAAGACCAGTAGATGAGACCAACAGCTTCCAGGGGCAGCAGGCTGATGTTGGCTGGGGATATGCCCAAATATCTCAAGTGTCGCTAGACAAGTGTATTTAGGCAATTAAGTTGAGTGAGCCCTTATAGCCCAAGCTGCATGTGCCTGTTTCAGTTTTGCCACRGGAAAGGGATAATCAGTTAGGTCAAGATTTTGACTATTTTCATTTAACAGCCCAACTCCCTAAATTCAGAAAATGTCGAAATAAACTGCAACTCTTTCTTATCTCTGGGATATGGGACAATTTATAGTAAAAGCATACTTCTCTCCTTGCATGGAGGGAATTACTTTTGTCTCCAGTGATCTCTCTAGGAAAGTTTCTTTTGCCTTTATTGAGTACAAGAAAAAACATGAACTATTCAGTAAGTGTCTGTCATCTCTAAAGACCATAGACAATGGTCTATAGAGAATGATACTATAAAAAAAAAATGTTACTTTAGTGTTTCCTGAAGCATGATTTGAGAACTGAGCTCCATGTRGATATAATACTCAAGTGTTTCCCTTTCTCATTGATGTTTAACAGGTTGATAGAGCTCCTTCCTTTTGTTACCATAAACTACTACTGGGGAATTATAAGCAAGTGCCTCACCTACAGTAAGGCTGCATCGGATCCATTTGTTTACTCGCTTTTACGTCAACAGTACAAGAAAGTCCTGATCAACATCGTCAATAGGATACTTAAGAGGGATCTGTATCCTTCGTCGGGCTACAACAGCTCTCTCGACACCGAAAATGATTACTGCTTGCACAGAACAAACTAACATGACAATCATTCCCCTCTGATAAGACAGGCAGTTGCTGCTGCTGGAAAACTGCCTTTTTCCTCTCCTACTGAGTAGACAAGGACAGCGACAGAGTCTCCGTTGGGTGAAAGCTGCAGTGAAGCAAAGCTGGTTAGCTGTGGACTTTCATGAAAAGTCCTTTTGTGGTCTTCAGCCAGCATGATAGATGGCAAAGATGGAGTAGGTCTGAAGGATTTAGAAGATTAGGGAGCCCTTAGAGGCTTTAGAGAAGCTTAGATAGTCTTTAATGTCTCATGTATGAAAACTTGGTATTTTGGAGTGTCCCCTACAGTATTTGACCAGCCYACACGGGAAGAGTCTGGTACTACAGGAGTCCCCAACTTGGAAGGAGAGATTCAGAGTCCTCTGTGCTGCACATGTACCTTGGCAGCCCTGGGTTTGTGCTGCTAGTTTTGGACATGAAAAATAAGTCTTTTAATGGATTAATTGCTGCATACATATTTCAGCAGCCTGGATTTGTGCTATTAGTTTCAAATATTAAAAAAGCATTTTATTTGATTGATTTATTGTGTTGGTGCCTCAAGTGAGTGATATGGGTCAGCACTTTGAATATGAAATTGTTATTATTATTATTATCATTAGGCATCATGATTGTAATATAGCCTTTAGGAAGTGGTATGTATATTCAATATGCCAGTATTTTATCAAGACTAACCAAAGTCCACATATCTGAGTTACAAATATTTAGCACTTCAGTGGTATGTGATTACAAYAATTGCAGCTAAAGTAACAAAGATATATATGGAGTTTAGTTAAATAGCACTGTAGTTCCATCACTGAGCTAGTCCTATTCAAACAAGCTTTCATAAAAAAAAATAGACAGTAGAAGTGACAGATAGCACTGTATTTAAGATATATTATTTCAGAAGCTATCTGTTTTCAAAGARCAGGCTAAAATATGTTAATTAATTTTAAAGGGATATATAACATGTAAAATATTTCATGCAATGGCTACATTTGGTGGATTGTAATAATATTGTACAATCTTTTCTTTTTTATTGATCTATTATTCTGGTGATTTTAACTGACACCAAGAGATGTCTGGGAGATATTGTAACAGACCTGCTGCCAAATGCCCAGAAATACAAAGCTGCTTTATTACTATATGTATTTTTCTCTTTCATTTATTTTTAAATCTAAACAGACACTGGAAAAATAGTGAAATTATTTTTGAACAGTATTTGTTTGATTATAWAAGATATGAATCAAAATATTCTATGGCATTCAAAACTACTATTTTCTAAACAAACACATAATAGAAAAATGAAAGCAATTCTAAAATATATTTTAAAAATAAAGAAATACTACAGTAAAGGACACTTATTTTTATGCAACTATAGGCTCAACCCTATTAAATATGGGGAAGGCTTTTCCTCATCCAACTAAGTATATTAAGCATGTGATTAGGCACAGGTATAATTTCTTTTGAAGTTATGGCTCCTATTCCCATGCTGAAAATTAAGCACACTCTTAACTATTTTGTAAGATCAASCTTAGAGTGTTCAGCATATCGTATTGAGAGGGCTATTCCCACAACAATAAGGAAGAAGAGCCCTATTGCAATCCCATTGAAGTCAAGGAAAGAGTGATGCTGCATAACAAATACTTATCTCTCTTATATCCAGCTTTTAATCTCTGAGGCCTTTCTGAGGCTTTATTTATTTATTTTATTTTATTTTGCCAGGCAAGTACCTTAGGCCTCTGTGTTTTGCATCTATAGTTCTGCCTGTGTTAAAACTGAATGTACTACAATGGTTTTGTCTTCTTAGTAAAGTATTTGTACTCTCTCCAATTTTGTGTAAATACAGTATTTCAGAAAAAAAAAATATATATGTGGAATCTTTCCAGCTTTATTATCTTCCTTTCTGCCTACACATACTTCCCCCCTACTGCCATGCTGCTACAAAATCTGATGCTTCAGTCTTTCATCACTGTTGCAGCATAAGGATCAGATATATCTGTGGGGAGAAGAATGGTAAATTTTGAGTTATTTTATAGTCAATTCTGTGCCAAAAAGTTTTGATAGACTACAATATTTATCTGTTAATAAACATGAGTTAATGATACAATAGTTAGCTGATCTATAGTTTTCTAAGCAGAGTTGCTCTCTTTAATAAAGGAATATGCTAGCATAGTCAAATGTCTTAAACCATCCCCTCCAAAACACTCAAGCCAAATAAGTCTTTGCTTTATGTATCTTTCTTTGTACAGAGAAGAAATTAGAGAAGGAAAAAGTGTTTCATAACAAACTTCTGAAGCCATTAAACTTCTACAGTCTTCTACAGTCAAAAGCTATAAAACAGAATATAGTTAAAGGGCTACATCTGCTATTAAGTTAATTAATTAAGCTGATTCATGGCAGGTGAGGGCATACTCACATTATAATCAGAGCTSAATCCTGCAAAGCATAGAGTATTTTTGGAGGTGTTTAAATTCTCTATGAAAATGAAGGGGAAAAAAAGGGATATTGAGCCTGTCCTGGGTGTTGCAGAATCCTGTTTGGGTTCAATTTCCGTAGACAATTAGGCTGGCAAGCCCTACAGCATGCTCTAAATGAAAAGTAAAGACCCTGGCATGTAAGGAAGAGCAAGGAGTGCTGTGCTCTTCTTTGTCCTAAATCATCCTCCTCAGTCTTGATCTGCAATAAGTGCTTTGCTTAGCACTACCAAAAGACATTTTCCTCTACTGGGGATGCAGGGCTTTTTAAATGCTGCAAAAAAGCATCAAAAGGTTACTGGGCTTSTGGAGATGAGAATGTGTATCTTTAATGGTGGGAACATTAACCAGAGGGATCAAAACTGTGGATTCACTCTTGCTGTTGTTTTAAAGGAGACAGTAAGTAGATACATCACCCTGAAATGGTTTAGGTCTGGTCAGAAGACTTCCAGAAAAGCCGAAATGTGATATTCAAACCAACACCTTGTGATTCAAAGGTTCCTGCCAGGCAGCCCTGGGTCATGGGCTGCTTTAGGGCTGTGATATTAGAGACTCGCAAAGGTCTGACAGATCTGCTGTGGAGCTAGAAACCCTGAGATGCGACCATCTGGTCGAGATGGAAGTGCCTATGACTCCCCTGAGTTAAGGAGGACTGACTCTCTTGCAGCTGCTTAGTGAAAGTAATGTGAGCTCTTATTCAGAAATACACATTTCTGCAGTACCAGCAGGCCTCAGAAGGGCCCTGAGTTGTGACATGTCAGCTCTTAGTGGTAGTCAAAATTCAGCAAAAAAGTTTTCTCCTCATCTCTAAAAAGGCTTTTCAGGCACAGCAACTGGAATTCAGAGCTGCATCTTCCCTAGATGTCATTCACATTATGATGTCAGTCAGAGTATAAACCCTGCAGCACAATAAACCTTTAATTAGTTCATGCAAACTGGACTATAACCTTTTTGTCTTCATGTATCTCCACCAAAGTACTTTTAAGCCTGATGATTTAAACATTTCCTGACAAGATCCCAGATGGACTTTTTAATCTACTTAAGCAAGTGTGCCTGCATTGTCCCCTAGCTAAGTGCTATAATTATCAAAAAGGAGAGTTATCTACAGACAGGATCGCTTTTTCTCTAGTGTGCTGATGTTGCAGGTAAAYTTTGAATTGGTCAGATTGAATTTCTGTGGCTACAAACATAAAGGAGYAGTTGGACCATAGAATCCCAAAAGGCTGATTATGAGTTGAATCTCAGACTGCTCAATCCAGACTTAACTCAACTTTGTCGTTAAGTGACTAAATTGCTATTCATCCACTTTAGTGATTTTTAAGATGCTGTTTGATTAAAGACCTCAGATCCTGTGAACTTTCACTCTGCAAGTTTCTTAGGCCCATTACAGAGGGGCATATACTTCAACTGGATAAATTAGCACCCAAAAAAATAGCACCCAATAAACCCTTGTGTATAATCTGCTGAATGATTGCTAAATACAAATTTCACCTACTTTAACATGAATAATAGTATTACTGAGCTGAAGTTTCAGTTATTTGCAATGTTAGGATTATTAGAGGATTAACCATGTGAGGATTAAAGTATTTAATACAACTGCTCTTGTACAACCAGAGAGTGATCTTGCTCTTTACAACAGCAGGGTAATCTCAAACTCTTTGAGAAATTTAGCGGCTTTGATTTTTGTTTTGTTCTAGATTAAATGACCTGTGGCTAAATGTTCAAGTTCATTCAGGTAACATATTTAAAAAAGATCCTGAAGCAAGTAATCTTTTATGAGCACAAGAGTTTGACTAGAACCCAAGGAAGACTTGTTTTCTTATATATGTAGGACATTTCCCCCAAAAAACAACTGCATGCGGTTGTGTGTGCAGAATGAATAATCAACTGTGTCCATTTCTAAATCTCTTTCAGGACTCTCAAGTGCAAATGCCTTGTTAGGTCTAGTTCAGAAGGACACCTGGCTTGTGTGAGGTGTTAATTGCACAAGTAAATTGTAGATTCTGCTTTTTATTTTTGGAAAGCAACTGCAATTAATATTTAATAGCTCAACCGGAGACACAGCAGAGATGACCTTAAGGGAGGCTGCAAATACATGAACATCTTTCAGTGCCAAAAGCTTTGGAGAGCAAAATGTCAGCTGGTGATATATTCAACTAGATCCTTCTCTGAACTGAAACTGCCTTTCCCCCATGTTTCATTAATGTGACACAGCCAAATGACTGGTCCCATCTTCATGTATCTTTGGTTCTTTTCCTTTTACCAATAGATTTTTCTTACTAGGATGTGAGGGTGCATGAAGGTCCCAGAGGATACATGACAGAAGCTAGGTGCCTTCTGCTTTATTTTTTTTCCATAAGTGAGCACAGCATTAAGCATGAGTGGCTCACCGCCAGGCTACTCATGTATTTTCAGTACAAATGAAGCATAGTGTAAAGCACATCATATTTTAAATGTCATGGAGCCCATATGGAGCTCAAAAAAAAAAAAAAACATTTCCACATGTGAAGAAATAAAGAAATATTGGACCACTTCTGCCACATGTTTTTAACTAGATGCCTTCAGAAATATTACAGACGAAGCCTCTTCATCGCTGAACACAATCTATTATCACATATTGTCTGTTCAAGCTGCCGAGCAGCCTCCAAATAAAAAAATCCCCTTTRGGACATTGCCGAAACTTATTGTTGTGCATATGTCATCCATTTCACTGAATCTCACTCTTTGGATATGACATGGGGTTGTCATACTCAGGTCTGTGGAGCATAATGTCTCCTCTGTGTTGATGAAGTTTTCAAGTTTCCATTTCTAAACTAGAACTAAAGTAGGTGAAATCTTGAAACACTCCAGAAAGACTCCTTTTCCTCATGCCATGTTGCTGTAGCTTTGCATAACTGATTTTCTAGCATTTACTCATTTTCTTTCTTTTTTTTTTTTTAACTTTAGCTCAAGGCTTATCACACTAATTGTATTCCAGTGAAGCCTGACCTTAAGCAGCAGACTTATTACCACCTTCCCTTCTCTTTTTTAATTCCTGCTTTTACATATCCAACCCTTTAGTCTTCTTGCTTGCAGCTGTCAAACCTGAGGCACATCTTCAGAATGTTTCACTGAAATGCAAAATACAGCTCAATGTCCTTATTAATGGTCGGGGACTGGATAGTGGAATTGTGTATGTATTTTCACCAGAATATYTAAATGTGTTTTAGGTCTCATGCTTTGTATATTCTCCCTATTCCTATTAGAACAAAATGTTAGTTGGTAGTACATGATGTTTGTTCTGTAAAAAAACATTTCTGATCCCCCCGCTACCACATACATAGCTCAATCTCTTGTCATTTCAAAACTGTCTTTTTGGCTAATCAAACTTATTTTTCCTCCTTCTCTGCTTCTTCTCATGACCAGGGCTACCTTGGTGTTGAGAGTGGAWCTGTATTCACACAGAGCTCTTTAGGGTATAGGACAAGCTGCTTCATCCACTCTGAAGTGTTTGCTCCACCTGCTCCATGTAGAAAGGAATGAGTACCACCATCTTTTCTTAAAAACTAACTATGTGCATTTAAGTTGTGGCTCCCCTTTCTGTCTTTCTATCCCTTTCTATCTCACTATATGTGACTATAAGCTTTTAGCATCTCCTGGGTGTCAGAGAGCTCAATATGAGCTCTCCTACCTCCTTGGAGACAGTGACAGTGGCAGGGCTGAAGGCTGGGAACAAGGGTGTCCTCTTCTTCTTTCCCAGTTGGAGAAGTTTCATCACACAGAAATGAATTGGAGATGACAGCTTAGAGAAAGCAAAAGGATCCATGTATGGTGCTGGAGCTCAGTGGACACTTGCTAGAAAGGTGGGGTGATGCTCTGGTTCCTCTTCTGAGGACTGTTTGTATCTGATTTATGTATGATATCCCACTCACTTTGTTGGTGGGTGAAGARCACGTCTGGAAGGGAAACGTGTTATAGAAAGATCCTAGCCCC